TTTTTTTTTTTATACAACGGGCCCAGTGCCCAAGGCTGATATTAACAATGAAAATGTTGAGGCCGGGGACCTCACAGTCTACCCCGAATGAACCCCAACCAGTTACTACAACTTTTGTGTAGACCGTGAGGGCTTCACGGCAGCGATAAATTGGGAGCAATTTAAAAAAAAAAAAATTGTTCCTCCAGCATCTGGAATGTCCGAGGACGATAGTGTTGTGTGACATGTCGGTTGGCGGAGTCCCTGAAAATGTCCTCCCTCTATGGGCATGGCCACACTACTCTCGAAATGTCCATAATGAGAATGAACTTCCCGCTAGAACATGGCCAGATGCGCCCGCCACATTTCTGTCTTTTTCACATTTCCAGAGTGGTGTGGCCAGTCCGTGGGCTAGGTCCCACTTGTACGAATTAAACCACCCGTACTTGGCCCAGCTATCGGCCGCGGCGCTTCCCCGTTAACGCACCGCGCCTGTCGGGGTTCGGGGTACCGGACCACAATGGCTGGAAGCGCCAGCCAAAAAAAAGTTGAAACGGCGCCCGGGCCGTTCGGCGAAACCTGGCGAGCAGGGGGTCACCCGGCTCGGCATAGATAGCTGGGCCAAGTACTGGTGGTTTAAGAGATACTGACCGTAGATAGCAAAGATCAACGGCCGAAATCTCCGCAAGTGGGACCTTGCCCAGTATAACAGCCCATAAAGAACCACGGCAGGTCCAGGAAGACCGCCCTAGAAGTCGGCCTCATGGGATCCGTTTTCTCTTTTTTTTTCTTTTTTTTTCTTTTTCGTTTTCTCTTTTGCGCCCCACCACGGGCTAGAGACAGCTAGTTCAACGACCCTCTCGTTCCCCCAACAGGCGTTTTTCAAGAGAAACTGAACGAGCCTCCTTCCGTTTGCCATTTTTGGACGGGATTCGGGCACCTCTTCATTTTCTGCTGTCGAAGTGCCCGTATGCCACTCCAATTGTGAAAAATGAAATACGAGAACAATTGTATTCCTGCCATTTATAAATGCATTTCTCATTTGAAATTGAATTAAAATAATTTTTTTTTAGCTGTGGCACCGTTGAGCTGCCTCAACTAAACGGTGCAAGTGGGATGAGGTCCCGGCCGCTGGCCGCTGGCCGCTGACATCTTTGTAGTGATTTTTTGCGTGTACATTCGTAGTGTAGTGGTGGGATCAACCCCTAATTGATGTTGCGTCTCACTTCACTATACTCATATGTGCGTTGCAAATGTATCGGGCTCTGATATGGACTTCATGCATTCAAAATGTATTTGGATCACAAAAAAAACAGCGCAGATTCATCTCGGATGTTGTGTAGTGGAGGGGGGAGGCCAATGTATGAGGAGGGTTGATTAATGGGCCCATCATATTGGGCCTCGCTGCACTACTCTGGACATGCACAAAAGACAAAAATCATGGCGGCGCATCTTTCCATATTGTAGCGGAAGATTCACTCTCGTTTTGCACATTTCGAGAGTAGTGCAGCGAGGCCCATTATATAGTTCTTTGGCATCTTCGCCCGAACATAACGCATACGTCTTGTATTCGAGTTTTCCAAAAAGATCGATGATCCCAATAGAACGCATGTGCGCTGTATTCGAATGTAAGAGTTGTTCGAACAAAGCGAGTGCGCGTGCGCGTTGTATTCGAATGAAAGAAGCCTCAGCGTTGTGTTCATTTACAAAGCATACGCGTTATGATCGCGAGACGGGTGTAGCCGCAGCATTCACCAGCTGCACAAAAGCCCAAAACTTTCGCGCGTGTATCTTTACATGTTTTACTGGAAGATTCATTTTCATTCTCATTCTGCACATTTGGTGGGTGGTCCGGCCAGGTCCATACATAGTCCTCCTATATGTATCATGTCGGGATAGGTGATGTCATCGGCGGGCAGCATGTGAGCAGCGGGAATAGACACCTGTGTCTAGACCGGCAGAATGAATCTTCGGCTAAAACATGGAAAGATGCAGGTGGCACAGCGGGCACAAGTACACTCATATGTGTTGCCACGGGGCACGCACAAGTATCGCAAAAGTATTGCCACGTGGCACACGTGGCAGCAGATCTCTAAGAGATGTGAGTTCTGGATAAGACAAAAACAAATCTATCTTCCTCTTAATCATCATCATCATCGTGCTCATCGTCATCATCGTCAGTATAATCATCATTGTCGTCATCATAGGCATGATCAGTTTTTTTTTTTTTTTTTTTTTTTTTTTTTTTTTTTTTTTTTTTTTTTTT